AAAGCCCAAAAGTTGTGTTCATCACCTTGGGAGGTACCATCCCAAAGCTATCCTCCCACTATTAATTTATTCAATCACATACAATCAATTCAATCTTGTCACGATTCTCATAATTGTCAAATAGTTTTCATGATTTCCACATCAATTTAATGAAGATTGTAATTTCCAAAATGAATCTTTGAATAATATCATAATTTCCAAATCCATTATCCAAGAATATCATAATTTTCATATTCAACATCTACCAGGGTAAAATTCAAGTCCAATCATCATATCATAATTTTTCAAATCAAAATTCAAATATTCACATCTATTAGGGTAAAGCCAAAATCCAATAATTAATCCAATTAATTTATAGAGGTTAAAATAATTTAATTTAAATACCCTAAGGGTACATATAATAAATGAAAACATTCTAAAATTTCCTAAGCATTAAGATTACATATACATCAAACATATAACTATCTGAAAGATTAGGACACACCCAATAAAATTTCATACACAACAAATCTACAACCACCTAGAGATTAGGATTACCTGGTCTCCGTTTTCGCTAACTTCTAGAAGAAAAGAGTAATTTGGGGCAGAGAACCGGTTGGTAACCAGAAGAGTATAAAATAAATTAAACTAAGTTTTTGAACTAAGAAGAGAGAATAATAGAGGAGAAATGTTGAAGAGTGAATTAGTTTGGTTAGGCTAGACCTCTATTCATAGTTGAAGTTTAGGGCTTACACATTACTGACTCAATGCTGACTCATCATATCTAAACAATTTATGTTTGTTGACTCATCATATCTAAACAATTTATGTTTATTGACTCATCATATCTAAACAAATTACTAATCAAACATAAATACATAAATCATCAATCAATTAATAAATCAATTAATCATAAATTATCATCTAATATATATATATATAATTATATATTATCACATAAATAAAATAATATTACTATTATTATCTTACCTCTTATTATTTTAACTATTATTAACTCATTAATTAAAAATATTAAATACCAATATTATTAATTACAAAAATACTAAATATCATTATTATCCAAAAATATTTATTATTATTATATTATTATTATTATTATTATTATTTTATTAAAAGAAAATATGGGGTATTACATTCTACCCTCCTTAAAAGAAGTTTCGTCCTCGAAACTTAAAAGTTTGAACTCCTCAAATTAACTAAAAGGCATAAGGTTAAAGTTAATAAAAATATGGGGTATTACATTCTACCCTCCTTAAAAGAAGTTTCGTCCTCGAAACTTAATTAATTTTTTTTGAAACCCCTTTAAAAAAATGTAAGCAAACAACAAAGAGTCATGCATAACCAAGCAAACAAGACAACCTAGAATACAATAAATTTAAAAAACTACAAATTAATGAATTTTTAACTTTAACCAAGCTAGAAAAAAAAGTTTCGAAACTGAATATCTTCTTTAAGCAAATAGAAATTTTTATTGCATATATTATCTTTCATTTGCTAGAAAAAATTTAATCAATTCCAGAACAACTCTAAAAGAAAGCTAATAACTTTTATTAAAATAAGAACGAGTTACTAAAGATAGCATATAAAAATTTTAAAGAATAATATCAATAATAATTTTAAATCACAAAATAATTCCAAAGATATAATCATCAAAATTCCGAAGAAATAGATCATATTTAAAGGATAAGAAAAATAACCCTTCAATACCCACCTCTCTCGATTTATTTATTTATCTTATGTCCTATTATTTTATTTCCTAAATTTTATTTTTATTTTTATTTTTATTTTTTTTATTTATTTAACTCAGGGATCTTTGATCCCTCAAGTCAGTATCAAAAGCAATCCCCAAGCCGAACCAGGGGCTCTGATACCATTTTGTAACACCCCAAATTCTGACAATTTATAATAGCATAAGTAAATTCAATATTTTTATAAATAACAGCGGAAGTTCAAAATAATCGAATTTGGGAAGTGTTACCGTCGCACCTGTACAGGGACAAGTGCAAGGCTAACTCTATACATTCAAATCAAAATCTAAGACTACAATTTTTTTTTATACATAATATTTATGACAACTAGAAATCCTGAGTCGTATCCTCACTGCCCACTGCTAGCCCGATTCCTTGCCACCTGATTTATTGAAAATCTGCTCCCCCGCAGCCGCAGGATCATTGCAGTCAAACAATCACAAACAGTCAGCAAAGCTGGTAATCCCAATCAAAATAAAAAAATAAATAAATAAATAAATAGAACTCATAATAATTAAATCAAGTAATATAACTCAAAAATTCAAATCAAGTATCAACTCGTTATTAATTATATTAATCTTTATTTAGTCCATTTATTGTATTTAGTAAGGGTAATTTATCAACTAACATATTCAGCACAACATTAATCATAATATTACATAAATGGTAATATTCACAACTCAATGACATTCATCATAATCAAATCAAATAACATTTCATTATTAATCATGTTTAAGTTCATTGTACTCAGTGGGAAGAGAACCATGGTAGACCCGGGAAACCCTGCCAGTCTACCCCGTGACCCGGGAAAAAACCACTGTTACCAGCCACGTATAATCGAAATTGGCCATAATCAATTCACATCTTCCTAGTGTGCACACCTCTTCCCAAAGTTGCTACTAGTACCCCGGGAAAAAACCACTGTTACCAGGAACCACTTTGGGAAGAACGGATATAATCTTTTTCACATCAGTTTCACATCGGAGGCATAAAGCCCAAAAGTTGTGTTCATCACCTTGGGAGGTACCATCCCAAAGCTATCCTCCCACTATTAATTTATTCAATCACATACAATCAATTCAATCTTGTCACGATTCTCATAATTGTCAAATAGTTTTCATGATTTCCACATCAATTTAATGAAGATTGTAATTTCCAAAATGAATCTTTCAATAATATCATAATTTCCAAATCCATTATCCAAGAATATCATAATTTTATTATTCAACATCTACCAGGGTAAAGCCAAAATCCAATAATTAATCCAATTAATTTATAGAGGTTAAAATAATTTAATTTAAATACCCTAAGGGTACATATAATAAATGAAAACATTCTAAAATTTCCTAAGGATTAAGATTACATATACATCAAACATATAACTATCTGAAAGATTAGGACACACCCAATAAAATTTCATACACAACAAATCTACAACCACCTAGAGATTAGGATTACCTGGTCTCCGTTTTCGCTAACTTCTAGAAGAAAAGAGTGATTTGGGGCAGAGAACCGGTTGGTAACCAGAAGAGTATAAAATAAAATAAACTAAGTTTTTGAACTAAGAAGAGAGAATAGTAGAGGAGAAATGTTGAAGAGTGAATTGGTTTGGTTAGGCCAGACCTCTATTCATAGTTGAAGTTTAGGGCTTACACATTACTGACTCAATGCTGACCCATCATATCTAAACAATTTATGTTTGTTGACTCATCATATCTAAACAATTTATGTTTGTTGACTCATCATATCTAAACAAATTACTAATCAAACATAAATACATAAATCATCAATCAATTAATAAATCAATTAATCATAATTTATCATCTAATATATAAATATATATATATATATATAATTATATATTATCACATAAATAAAATAATATTACTATTATTATCTTACCTATTATTATTTTAACTATTATTAACTCATTAATTAAAAATATTAAATACCAATATTATTAATTACAAAAATACTAAATATCATTATTATCCAAAAATATTTATTATTATATTATTATTATTATTATTATTTTATTAAAAGAAAATATGGGGTATTACAATTAGTAATTATAATATTTTGTGAAACCTTATAAATAGAAAATTGTTTTGTAAAGTAATTAGTAATTAAGAATTAATATAATCTTAATTTTTTAGTAAACAATAATTAATATAATGACTGAATTGTTAATTGTAATTAGTGTTTATATTAATGGTATATTTAAGTTATCAATGCCATAGAATCCTTGTATTAAAATTGATAATAAATATTGAAAATTATAAAGAGTAATTGTTAATTTATTAAAATCCTAGTATATATGTCTCAATATGCTATTATAAAGAGAGGCAGATCCTAATATATATGCATAATATGTATGTAGGCTAGCCAGTCTCGCGAGGTAAGGTGGCGAGACCAGCTTTGACAGGATAAATGCAATTGACGTCGCTTTCTCTGACGAGATTGGTTCACGTTAATTATTTGACTGCTCTACTTTGATAAAACATCTCAAAATAGTTTGGAAATAGATCCTCTAATGTGAGAAAAAACATTATACGATCATGTGAAAAGATCACAACCATACACAGTTAAATCAATGGTTATAATTTTGTAGCTATTTATTTTACTATTTTTTCTCTCTCCTCTTTTATTACCATTGATCCACTTTTGTATTGTTATGATTTCTCACTTTACCATGTCATGTGATTTTTCACATCAGAAAATCTGGATCCAAATAGTTTTGAGTTGGAGATACCTTTCAAAATTCTTCTTAGTATGGTGGCTTTGCCTAGTTAGGGATAGCCATGGACTCAATGCATTAAATAATTCATGAATTTATTAAGTGCTGGGTTAAATCTCTTAATTAATGTATATAAAAAACATTTATTAGAGAGAATTTTCATTTTCAACATTTGACATATTTTGCAAAGAATTACTTAACATACCGAGTTTAGAGAATTTTAAAAATAAATCCACTCCTAATTATAAGTCCGAGCCTCTAATTGTCTGGGGAAAAAAAGTAATAATAATAAATAAGAGAAAGCTGACAAGTGCTGTATACTAATCCCAACGCGTTTTTTCCAATTTGAGACTGATATTGACTACTTGTACTGTACTATCCACAATTATAAGCAATAATTGAAATTCAAACAGAATCAAATCAAAAAGACAAATAAATGGTCAAAATTACCAAACCACCCTTCGCTCTCTTTCAAATACCGCTCCCATTTCTTTCACAGCTCAAAACAAACGCAAATGGATACGCCCAAAAGATCCCAACCCGAAAACCCTATCGCCACATGCGCCACCATGCTCTCCCTCCGCCACTTCTCCGCTTTGCGCGACTTCGCAAGCCGCCTCCCGAGCTCCGACTGTGTCGCCAGAATCATCGCCATCGCCGACGTCCTCTCCGCCGCTGATTTCTACTCCGTCCTTAAGCTCCGCCGCGATGACGCCGGCGACCGCGACCTAACGCGGAGTCAGTTCGCGAAGCTGGCGCTCCTCCTTGACCCCACGAGCACCGACAAGTTCCCTTTCTCGGACGAAGCCCTCGTGCTAGCACGTGAGGCATGGCACGTGCTCTCCGACCCGGAAAGGCGTGCCCTTTACGACCGCGAGTTCGAACAACGAAGCGGCAGTGACCGTAGAAAGGCGACGTTTTGGACCGGGTGCCCCTACTGTGGGAACCTGTACGAGTTCGAGAAGAGGTACGAGGAATGCACCTTGCTGTGCCAGAATTGCCGGAAAGCGTTTCACGGTGTGGCGATGAAGCCGCCGGTGAAGGAGGGGGATGAGAAAGGAGAGGACTATTGGAGCCACGAGAGTGTTCCCTTGAGGTATTATGAGTTTAAGGAGAAGGAGGATAATAACAACATGATGGGTGATGAAAATGTCAATGTTGTGTACATTTCTGATGATGATGATGATGATGATGATGATGATGATGTTGGTGATGTAGGGTTGGGGAAGATAGTGATAGAGGTTGTGAAGGGTGATGTGAGAAGTGAAGGGTGGGAGAGGGTTCATCGTGTTCAGGTGAATGAAACAGTGAATTTGCAAGGCAATGGGAAGCGGAGGATGAGGATTAAGACTGTGGCAAAGAAGGGTGTTTGGAACAGGAATAAGAGAAGCAAGAAGGAATGTGTTGATGCAGATAGTGACTTGGATTTGGATGTGGAAGATGGTGAATTGGAGTTTACACAAGGAGATGGTGATGTCTTTGTTGGGGTTCGGTTCAACAAGTGATGGAAAGGTGTGATGATTCTTTTCTTTGGTTAGTTCTAAGATCATGCTATATAGGCAGGCAGCATTTAGGGTTTCTAGACATTCTGAGCAGATTAGGTTGCACAAAAAACTATTGAAAAATTGGAACTTGATGGTATAGTTGTTCATTACGTGCTTCATCATTTTGGAAAAGAGGCGTTGCATTGTTTTTACTTCACCGTTTTATCACTCATGCAAGCTTTTTGAAATACACTAATATTTAGGTCTTATATTTTTTGGTTTCTCGGAGTATCCGTTAATCCATGTATATGCGACTAATTTTACTCATATACGAAAGTTAAGAGTTTTTGTTTCTGTTTTTTGTGAATGCCGGAGCAAGAGGGTAAACAATTAACAAGGAAATTCACTTATTTTACGAAGAAAATCCAGAGTTTCTTCTCTTCCAGTCTTGCCCGCGTAACTACGTTGTTTCTTACCAGAACTTTGCTATTAGATAATCAATGGGCTTTAGCACAGATCAAACAATTTATCTTTGTTAGAATAAGGTCAAGCTGTAATGGCTAGTTATTTTATCAGTTTTGACTAAGCACCATAGAGGGTTCCTTTGGCTTATCAGAATTCATATCCTTGAAAAAAAAAAAAAGTTTAGGTGCAATGCATTCTTAGTAGAGACAGAAAATAGCAAATACCAAAAGTAGTTCAAATGCAACAAGAATCTGAATTACTAGATTTTTCATTATGTAGTTCATTCCAAATAGCACATGTTATATAGTAAACTTATACCGCACCATAAATACTCAGAAAACAAATAAGCAGCAGAAGTAGGTGAATTGGAAATGAAAGACACAAATAACACTTGAAAAATCTATATATTCGACAGAATTAGGGTTTGCAACGAAATTATTTTAATTAGAATTCCGTCAAAATTTCGATAAAAAATAATTCCGTCAAAAAATTCTTCACGGTTTGCAACGAAATTATTTTAAAATTCCGTCAAAAAATGCAACGAAAAATATTTCTGTCGAAAAGTTGCGTCTCAGTTTGCAATGGAATTATTCTAGAATTCCGTCGAAAAATGCAATGGAAAATATTTTTGTTTAACAGTTGTGTCTCATTTTTCAACCGATTTTTTTCTGAATTCCATCGAAAATAATATTATTAATTTTTTAAAAAGCATATATTTCATATGAATTTCAATTCAACAAACACATAATAGTATACTTGAGAAATATTTGGTAATTTCATACAAATAATTAATACACATCCAAACTATCATTAATGATAAAAAAATACCATTCATAGTAAAAGGTATGAACATGTGGTAATTTTATACAGATAATACACATCCAAACTAACATCAATTACCTAATTAAACACCATAATAATGAAAAGTACGAAATATATACAAGTCAATATGACACATACAAATATCTCAGAATAAAAATACTACTGATTATCCTAAGAGTATAAAGTAAAACGACTAAAAAAAAATGAATAGAGACAAATGTTGAATGACTGAAGTATTTGCAAAATTGGTAAAATAATAAAATAACATCTTTTATTTTTACCAGGCAGCTCTCAATCAATGTAATTTTATTACGTAATAATAAGAGATGATAAGAAAAAATAGGCTATTGACCATTTTGCCCCTCATTAATTAATTAATAACTATTTTGTCCCTGATTCGAAACTATCTATCAATCTGCCCCTCTTTAATCGACTATTTTGCATGTTTAATCGACTAAACGGTTGTTGGGAGATTTAATCGACTAAATCTCCCTACTTAATCGATTAAAATCATACTGACTTATTTTTTTTTGTCAAATATGGAGATTTAGTCGACTAAATAGGGAGATTTAGTCTACTAAATCTCCCAACGGCCATTTTTTGTCAGTTTTGGCTATTTAGTCGATTAAAAATGTAAGGTAGTCGATTAAAGAGGGGCAGATTGATAAATAGTTTCGAATCAGGGACAAAATGGTTATTAATTAATTAATAAGGGGCAAAAGGGTGAAAAAGCCAGAAAAAATAGGTTAAGTATAACCTCCCTCTATTTTTATTGTCTTTTTCATAAATGTGGTGTCTTAATGATCGGTCTCAAAAACATGACCTAAACAATTTTAGCTTAAATTTATTTTCATTCAACTTGAAAGAAATTCACTGTAATTGAGTAATTCCATAATTTCTGAGTTGAGTTGAGTTGATCAACATGGTGAAACTGCTCGTATACATGTATTTGTGATCCCTAGACCATAGTAACCAATAACCATCAATACCAATTTAGCATTGGGCAAGACCAAGTGATGAACAATTAATGCTCTCAGAAAATTGAAGAGAAACCAGTCTTTGAGAAGCTATTAACTGTATTCATAAGACGCCTTCATAACAACAACAACAAAAAAACAAAACAAACTCTAGTACTGCTGCTGCTTCCACAAACACTATCACAGAAAAAAAGAACAATTCATTCAGAGTACTGACATGCAGCTTAATGAACAACTATACCATCAAGATAAAAGGGGGCATAAAAAACGGTGAAGTAAAAACAATGCAACGCCTCTTTTCCAAAATGATGAAGCACGTAATGAACAACTATACCATCAAGTTCCAATTTTTCAATAGTTTTTTGTGCAACCTAATCTGCTCAGAATGTCTAGAAACCCTAAATGCTGCCTGCCTATATAGCATGATCTTAGAACTAACCAAAGAAAAGAATCATCACACCTTTCCATCACTTGTTGAACCGAACCCCAACAAAGACATCACCATCTCCTTGTGTAAACTCCAATTCACCATCTTCCACATCCAAATCCAAGTCACTATCTGCATCAACACATTCCTTCTTGCTTCTCTTATTCCTGTTCCAAACACCCTTCTTTGCCACAGTCTTAATCCTCATCCTCCGCTTCCCATTGCCTTGCAAATTCACTGTTTCATTCACCTGAACACGATGAACCCTCTCCCACCCTTCACTTCTCACATCACCCTTCACCCCCTCTATCACTATCTTCCCCAACCCTACATCACCAACATCATCATCATCATCATCATCATCATCATCATCATCATCATCATCATCATCAGAAATGTACACAACATTGACATTTTCATCACCCATCATGTTGTTATTATCCTCCTTCTCCTTAACCTCATAATACCTCAAGGGAACACTCTCGTGGCTCCAATAGTCCTCTCCTTTCTCATCCCCCTCCTTCACCGGCGGCTTCATCGCCACACCGTGAAACGCTTTCCGGCAATTCTGGCACAGCAAGGTGCATTCCTCGTACCTCTTCTCGAACTCGTACAGGTTCCCACAGTAGGGGCACCCGGTCCAAAACGTCGCCTTTCTACGGTCACCGCCACTTCGTTGTTCGAACTCGCGGTCGTAAAGGGCACGCCTTTCCGGGTCGGAGAGCACGTGCCATGCCTCACGTGCTAGCAAGAGGGCTTCGTCCGAGAAAGGGAACTTGTCGGTGCTCGTGGGGTCAAGGAGGAGCGCCAGCTTCGCGAACTGACTCCGCGTTAGGTCGCGGTCGCCGGCGTCATCGCGGCGGAGCTTAAGGACGGAGTAGAAATCAGCGGCGGAGAGGACGTCGGCGATGGCGATGATTCTGGCGACACAGTCGGAGCTCGGGAGGCGGCTTGCGAAGTCGCGCAAAGCGGAGAAGTGGCGGAGGGAGAGCATGGTGGCGCATGTGGCGATAGGGTTTTGGGGTTGGGATCCTTTGGGCGTATCCATTTGCGTTTGTTTTGAGCTGTGAAAGAAATGGGAGCGGTATTTGAAAGAGAGCGAAGGGTGGTTTGGTAATTTTGACCATTTATTTGTCTTTTTGATTTGATTCTGTTTGAATTTCCATTATTGCTTATAATTGTGGACAGTACAGTACAAGTAGTCAATATCAGTCTCAAAATGGAAAAAACGCGTTGGGATTAGTATACAGCACTTGTCAGCTTTCTCTTATTTATTATTATTACTTTTTTTTCGCACACAATTAGAGGCTCGGACCTATAATTAGGAGTGGATTTATTTTTAAAATTCTCTAAATTCGGTATGTTAAGTAATTTTTGCAAAATATGTCAAATGTTGAAAATGAAAATTCTCTCTAATAAATGTTTTTTATATACATGAATTAAGAGATTTAACCCAGCACTTAATAAATTCATGAATTATGTAATGCATTGAGTCCATGGCTATCCCTAACTAGGCAAAACCACCATACTAAGAAGAATTTTGAAATTTACAAAAAAAAAAAAAAAAAAGAAGAATTTTGAAATGTATCTACAATTCAAAATTATTTTGAGATGTTTTATCAAAGTAGAATAGTCAAATAATTAATGTGAACCAATCTCGTCGGAGAAAGCGACGTTAATTGCATTTATCCTATCAATTACACTGACGCGTGCCAATCAGCTTCGATCCTAGCTGGTCTCGCCACCTTACCTCACGAGACTGGCCTGCATATATATATATTAGGATCTGCTCTTTTTTTTTTTTTTTTTGATAACAGATCTGCTCTCTTTATAATAGCATATTGAGACATATATTCTAGGATTTTAATAAATTAACAATTACTCTTTATAATTTTCAATATTTATTATCAATTTTAATACAAGGTTTCTATGGCATTGATAGCTTAAATATACCATTAATATAAACACTAATTACAATTAACAATTCAGTCATTATATTAATTATTGTTTACTAAAAAAATAAGTTTATATTAATTATTAATTACTAATTACTTTAAAAAACAATTTCCTATTTATAAGGTTTCACAAAATATTATTATTATTATTATTACTTATTTATTTTTGGTGAGGAAATATTATTATTATTTATTTACATTTTAACAAGGATTCAGTAACATGATTAACATTTAATTAACACACTAATATAATGACTATTTCATTATTTAATTAATAATTCATTATTTAATTAGTAATACATGATTTAACTTAATCTGTTTTACCTTTAGGGTGTTATTTATTATGATTAAATCAGTAATTATAAAATAATCAAA